GTATATGAAAGGGAGATTTTCTTTTCATATTCGGTATGATAAATCCTGCACCTGGGACCAAACGCGTCCACTTAGAAATACTCGGCTGCGATAGACAACAAATAAATTCACGACCACACGTGAAGAGTCTCCTAATGAAACATCGCAGCAATTTGCCCACCGTTGTCGCTTCACTTGACAATTCGAAGGTTTAAAATAACGCACAAGTTTGTTGTCCAGGCTCTTGACAAACACAACGCACCGCTCGCAATTCCTTTTCATTTTATTATGTATTTAAAATCAGTCGCACAGCTCACAATTGAAAATTTATATAAAAAAAAAAATTTGAATAGTATAGGGTTAAGAGTTGACATTTCAGTCGCAGTTCAAAAGAGAGAAATGTCGAAATCACTTCTACCTTGTTATGCCTTGATAGGAACGCAGCAATACATACATACATACATATGTATGTTTGTACATATGTGCATAGATTAAATATTTATAGATATTCATAAGAAAAAATTGTAATTTATTTCAATTCAATTNAACGTCAATAATTTAGCTATTAAATTTTTGCTATTCGAAATTTCGTTTGCATTAAATTTATTAAAAATTACCTTCAGTTTCTTTATGTCAACAAGGAATACTGGTTTAGGTTTTATCAGACTACTAATTGAAATTTAGCCTATCCATGTACATATGTATATGAAAGGGAGATTTTCTTTTCATATTCGGTATGATAAATCCTGCACCTGGGACCAAACGCGTCCACTTAGAAATACTCGGCTGCGATAGACAACAAATAAATTCACGACCACACGTGAAGAGTCTCCTAATGAAACATCGCAGCAATTTGCCCACCGTTGTCGCTTCACTTGACAATTCGAAGGTTTAAAATAACGCACAAGTTTGTTGTCCAGGCTCTTGACAAACACAACGCACCGCTCGCAATTCCTTTTCATTTTATTATGTATTTAAAATCAGTCGCACAGCTCACAATTGAAAATTTATATAAAAAAAAATTTTTTAATAGTATAGGGTTAAGAGTTGACATTTCAGTCGCAGTTCAAAAGAGAGAAATGTCGAAATCACTTCTACCTTGTTATGCCTTGATAGGAACGCAGCAATACATACATACATACATATGTATGTTTGTACATATGTGCATAGATTAAATATTTATAGATATTCATAAGAAAAAATTGTAATTTATTTCAATTCAATTTATTTTAACTTTGTTTGAATATTGTAATGTCGACACATACAGGGTGTATTAAACAAGGTGTGATTGACAACTCAGGTCGGCTCTCTTTTAAGGCACTATTATGCCAAAAAATATAAACAAACGATTCAAAATTCAGAAAAAAATTTTTCAATTTGGCTTTATAGGATGGTTCTTCTGAGAGAAATGTCAAATTCAATCACACTTTGTTGAATACATTTTGGACACATATATCAGAACAGGTATTTACTCAAATTCGAAAAAATTTGATGCCAAAATCATTCATTCGTTTTGTATATGAATAATTCATAAGCCGCTTTGAATAAATTCATGCAGCCCTCTAGTGTATATCGATGGCTGAGTGGATGATCGACCTATCTCGGCAGCCAGTTCGAAAACGCCTTATCTAAGAAAACTTTTCAAGAACGCCCTTATTCAGAATTTCATTGAAGAACGCCTATTTCAGAATTTTATTGAAAAGCACCATATCTCAGAATTCGGTTCAAAAACGCCCTATCTCATACCTTGTTTATACCAATGTAAGAACCGCATTTACAATAAACCGATTTGACTCAACACATATTTTTTTCATAAGTTTATACCTGTGTCTTTATAGCGCCTTCGTATTCAAAAGTAAAAAAAAAGCATGTTGTTTACTTTCGATATTTCTCAAATAATTAATTTGCATGATTGACCGAAATAGAAGCGAACAATAATTCAAATTTATTATAATAACAATTCAAATTTAAAACGGGCTGTATAACGAAAACCAGCCTTTTTTCACTACGCGTCAAATGAGTGATGAGTTTATACCTGTTTTCTAACCGATGTGAGAAATAAAACACCGATTTGAAAACAAGATCGAGTCAGTACACTTTTGAATTTCTGAGCGTATTGAAATTTGGTTTATGCTTCCGTTTTGAATGACAGCGAACTTGGTCAAAGCGCTTTATGTGTCGGCTGAAAATACATTGAAAATGTGTTGAGTTAGGGCGTTTTTGAATCGGCAGCTGAGATAGGGCGTTCTTCAGCCAAATTCTGAGATAGGGTGTTTTTCAATAAAATTCTGAAATTGGGCGTTCTTCAATCAAATTCTGAAGTAGGGCGTTGTTGAAAAATTTTCTGAGTTAGGGCGTTTTCGAACTGGCTGCCGAGAAAGGTCGATCTTCCAATCAGCCATCGATATGTACATACTATGTGCATCCATATAGCAGCAATTAATTTCATTTAAAGAAATGGCGTATCGTGCCGATCCGCTAAAGCCTAGTGGATATTTTTAGGCGTAGTAATAATAATGCGGTTGCTAAATATTTAACTACTTCCGTTGAGGAGACATCTACCTCTAGTGTTGCTAATTTTATGTTCTTTGATATGATATCTACCGACGAGGTTGATGTCTGAACTAGATTTTATAGAAACTTTGATTATAGGAAAGGTGTCTGGACAAGAAGAAGTAGTCGGATTTCAGCGAGCCCGAAAGAACAACTGGTACGATGAGGAATGTCAGGAAGCTGCAGAGAAAAAAGATGCCGTCTACAGGGCCACGCTGCGATTTGGGCGTAACGCGCGCTATGTGGGACCGCTATAGAGATCTGAAGAGGGAAGCGAGACGTATTTGCCGCAATAAAAAGAGAGAGGCCGAAATACGTGAGTGCGAAGAGCTTGATTTCAAGCCAGCGACAGGAAGAATGCCCGAAAATTTTACCAGAGAGGTAGGCGACTTACGGAAAGTTTCAAGACCGGGGCGTACTCCTGTAAGAACAACAATGACGACCCAGTTACCGATGTTCAGAACGTACTTAAATTATGGAGGGAACAATTTTCCTCCCTACTTAATGGTAGCAGCACGGAAAGGTGTGGAAAAGAAGAACCCTAGCCCCCAGTCGATGACGGAGTCGATGTGCCTTCGCCTGACTATGACAGATGCTCTACGACTGGAATTTAAGTGTGCTCTGCCTAATCCACAATAAAGGCGACCCCGCCATTCGCGCCAACTACCGCGGGATCAGCCTTCTAAGCATAGGTTACAAGGTCTTATCGAGCGTATTGTGTGAAAGACTGAAGCCCACCGTCAATGAACTGATNGGAAACCTACCGTCACTGAACTGATTGGGCCTTACCAGTGTGGATTTAGGACTGCAAAATCCACCATAGAGCAGGTGTTCACAATACGCCAAATCTTGGAAAAGACCCGAGAGGTAAGGATCGACACTCACCACCTATTTGTCGACTTTAAAGCAGCTTTCGACAGTATTAAAAGGAGTTGCCAATACGCCGCTATGTCTGAATTAGGCATCCCCGCCAAACTGATACGGCTGTGTAAAATGCCGTTGAGCAATAACACCAGCTCTGTCAGAATTGGGAAAGACCCCTCCGAGCTATTCGCCACCAAACGGTGTTTCAGACAGGACGACTCCCTTTCATGTGACCTCTTTAATCTGATGTTGGAGAAGAAAATAAGAGTTGCAGAACCGAACCGCACAGGAACAATTTACTACAAGAGCGTGCAATTGCTGGCTTATGCCGATGGCATCGACATCATCGTAAACAAAAACCGCGAAGTCTCTTCTGCCTTTTCCAAGTTGGATAAGGAAGCAAAGCGAATGGGTCTGGTGGTAAACGAGGATAAGACGAAGTATCTCCTGTCACCAAACAAACAGTCAGCACATTCTCGCCTTGGCACCCACGTCACTGTTGACAGTTATAATTTCGAGAAAATAGAGAATTTCGTTTACCTGGAAACCAACATTAATACCGATAATAATGTCTGCATGGAAATCCAACGGAAAATCACTACTACTTTGGACTGAGTAGGCAATTCAGGAGTAAAGTTCTCTCTCGACGTACGAAACCCACACTCTATAAGTCACTCATCATGCCCTTGCTGGCATATGGCACAGAAGTATGAAAAAAGACAACATCCGATGAGGCGGCTCTTGGAGTATTCGAGAGAAAGATTTTGCGGAAGATTTACGGGCCTTTACGCGTTGGCGTTGGGCTGTATGAGCTATAGAACGACATGGACATAGTGAATCGAATTAAAATACAGCGGCTCCGCTGGCTTGATCATGTCGTTCGAATGAGCCCCGACGCTCCAGCTCTGAAAGTATTCAACTGGGAACCCGCTGGTGGTAGCTGAGGAAGAGGGAGGCCCCCACTGAGATGGAAAGACCAGGTGGAGAAGGACTTGGCTTCACTAGGCATTTCCAATTGGCGTCAGTTGGCACAGAAAAGAAACGACTGGCGGGCTTTGTTGAACTCGGTCAAAATCGCTTAGGCGGTTACAGCGCCATATAAGAAGAAGAAGACGTCTGGACAAACAAGAAAGTACGTTGTAAAAAAGGTATGGGAATTTATTACATACACTACTTTACAAAATTAGAAGTGGTATGTCGAATTCCTTCTTCATTTAGGGACACCCCTTCGATTGTTGGTTCTATAATAATTTTTCTGTATACTTTTAAGGGCTTTAGCTTTCGAAACCTTATGCCCCTTAAAGCATCGCACGCAGAATCTGGTGAAACTTTAATAAATCCTTAGTGAATACTTTGATTTGCACAGCAAATATACATATGTATATGTTTGTTCGTATCTTGGAATTCAGTTTGTTTATCTCTGAGGTGTATACGTACAATCGATATATTGCACTTTTAAGTCTGCCCAACGTCTCGTATTTCATGTAAAATTGCACGCATGCATGTTTATATATTGTACATACATATGTATGTACATATGTATATGTATGTATGTGAGTATGTACACGCCTTTACAGTTTCATAAGATGTGCTAATTGCGTAAAGTTTTTCATTTCAGCTCCAAGAGCCGGCGATATGAGTCAGATCCCCGACACTTCTTTTATACCGGATCTTCCGAAAGGCCCTCTGTGTAAATATCGCAATCGCGCAAAATTCGATTGGAAAAAACTAAAACTGATATTTGAAAGTGAGCAGGATTTGCGCATTAAGGTTGGTGAAATGATATTTGCTTTAATTACTGTCAGTTTTAACTTCAAACTGTCATATTTCCTTTGCACAGTATAAAGTGTGGAAGGTATTGGAAAATGATCCACTATTTTCCAAACACAAGACTACACTGCCTATCGATGAGCAGAAGCATCTCTGCGCCATGCAAGTGAACCGCATGCCACATCTGAATCTCATCCCGAAGGAGATCGAGCAGAAGAGCTTTAGCGAAAAAACAAAATATTTGATGAGCATAAATGAAGCTTTGCACACGTATTGTCCGAGTTTGTCGGTGAAGATCGCCTTGGGTGTGGGGCTCTTCAACAACGCGATACGCGCCATGGGCACAGAGCGGCATATGAAGTACTACGATGCGGCGTGGAATCGTGAACTCATAACATGCTTAGCCATTACTGAGCTTGCGCACGGTAGCAACACGAAAAGATTTCGCACAACCGCCACATACGATCCTAAAACGCAAGAGTTCGTCGTCAATACACCCGACTTTGAGTCGGCAAAGTGCTGGGTCGGTAACTTGGGGAAAACGGCTACGATCGCTCTGACATTCGCCAATTTATACACGGAAAATGGAGAAAATCATGGACTGCACGGTTTTATAATTCCTATCCGCAACCCAAAGACATTGCAGGCATATCCAGGCGTTTTGGTAGGAGATATGGGCGAAAAGATAGGACTCAATGGCATTGATAATGGCTTCGTAATATTTTCAAATTGTCGCATTCCACGCGAAAATCTTCTCAACCGCACAAGTGATGTGACACAGAAAGGAGAGTATGAAAGTGTTTTCTCCGAGCCAGGCAAGGTGCTTGGAGCGGCTTTGGAATCTTTTTCAGCGGGTCGTATTGGAATCATGCAGGAGTCAGCTAATACGCTAGCAAGCGCAACTGTGATTGCAGTGCGATATGCGGCGTTGAGAAAGCAATTTGGGCCCGAGAAAGATGGACCTGAAGTGCCGATCATCGAGTATCAGTTGCAAGTGAGTATTTGTGAACTTCACTCCATTATCGTAAAAATTATTTATGAAATTTACAATATTCGTTTATTTAAAAAATTTAGCAATGGCGAATATTCCCATATCTCGCGGCTGCTGGTGTCCTGAAAGTAGCTGTGGCCGAGCTGACTGACATTTACCTCGCAGTCATTGAAAGGTCGCAAAAGGATTCAAATGGATTTGAGTTGTTGGTGAGTGTGAGGTCTTACTTTAAAATTTATACGAAGTAAGTACACATTAGGGCACCCATATTTTCAAAAGTATTTCGCCCCTCGCCCATTTACGGGTAGCTCAGACCCTAAAAATAAGATTGCTTAAAAAAATAATTCTCGCTAGTGGAAACGAGCCACACCAGATTGATTTAAAAGCTCAAAAATTGGTCCGAAACCTATCCAATTAACTATCGTTCCGTAACTCCTAGGACCGTTTGTTCAATGTCTGCTTATGATTATCGATGTTTTCGACATAATTTTTTTAACCGAAGCTAACCGAGCATTAAACAAACGGCGTTTAAACTATAGGTATTTTATGTGGAATCAACTGACGAATATTTTTTTCATGCCTATTTTTGACATCCAGGTGCTTATTACCGCATCTTTAAGTCTATTTAAATTATTGAACAAACAATTTTAAAATATTTGTTTAAGACAAGCTTATATTATTGGTTAATAAAAAAATCGACCCCCGCACCACCTAACGGCTGTGGAGTTATTTCTTTCCATTTAAGTAATATACGTTATAAACATGAAACAAATCGGTCCGTAAATACGGGTTTTCCAAATATCTCCGCTCCAGTGCCACCTATCGAGTAAACATTTGTTGAGTTATTTCTTTTCATGTAGGTAATATACATTCCAAAAATGAACCATATCGGTTCATAAATACGATTTTTTTTTCAAAACTCTCGACACCCGCGCCACCTAGCAGATTAATTAACCTTTAACGTAGTATTGTCGTCGGGTGTTGATGTGCTGAGTTGGTACCGATTTAAAAAGGATCCATTACTCTCGATACTCGGTACTGAATAGAGGTATACGCCGCCGGGCCACGCCGCACAGTGGTTCGGATCGCAAATTTAGATGGACGAAACTATTTAAACAAATACTCGTTGATGGATCTTTACACCACTTCTTACCTAGGGGATTTTTGGGTCGCTGATTACGAATCTGAAGCCACTTATCAAAAATTCAAAATGGCGGATCCAATATGGCGGACGAAAATTAAAAAAAATCGGTAGAATTCTATGAAACTGGGTATCTGGGGGTTTCTGGGTCGCTGATTACATATCTAAATCCATTTACCAAAAATTCAAAATGGCGGATCCAATATGGCGGACGAAAATTCAAAAAAAATCGGTAGGTTTCTATGTAACTGGGTATCTGAGGGTTTTCTGGGTTGCTGATTACGAATCTAAAGTCATTTACTTCGGAACGAGCATTTTCATCAGATATTTCTTTCAATTTACTAATCATATAATCACGGACACCTTGTTGTCTTTTAGAAGTTTCAGCAACACTTCTCCAAATGTCAAACAACTCACTTCTTAAGATTTTATTTACCATGACTAAAATTTAAGATCACAGCAAGAAACACAAATAAATTTCAGAAAAAATTTTATAACAGCGCTTAAAGATTTGCATGCCTGTTGTATAATTTTTTAATTTCAGAAAGCAGAAAATTCGCGAGTTACTATTTTTTTTAACTCTTACATAACCAAAGTTTTTATAACTTGAAGTATTTTTCTGTTTTAACTTTTTTGTTTATAAAGTCAATTTGCAATTATGCAAATATCTGTGAGTGAAATTAGCAATCTTTTAAGTTAAATTTCAGCTTTTAAAATAGAGTTCTCAAATAGGCGGCGTTGACTTACTTTTTTTGTTTGTTTTCATATGTTAATGCTTTAATAAATGCAATTTCTATTTGAATGTATTGTCAGGAATGTATTCCAAGTACCATTAAGTATTTTAAAAACAAAAAAATTTTGACTTTCGTCCAGCTAGATCTGCTATCCGAACCACTGTGCGCCGCCGCCGTTTTTTGTCATTTATCATGCGCCGCCGCCTAGTTACGAAAATATCTGCGCGGCGGCGGCGGCGGCGGCGTTCGGCGCCTAAGGAATTTTGTACAAAGTTTTCATGTTGAATGCACATTGAAATACATCGTTTGAAGGAACTAAATACTACTCGTATAAAAACACTATTTTACGAAATGAAAATTACATTTTTAAAAGAAGTTTTTTTTTCATAATTTGGGCCACTGAACATTTCAAAAAAAAAGCGTAACTCAGAAAAAAACATAGGTAACACGTTTTTCGATCGAAAGCGTTTATTACAGTTAAATTATGGTCGAATACTGGTAATCTGACGATTTTTTCCGCAGTAGAAAATTTTTTTCAATACTACAACAATACTACTTTTTTATATACTACATCAACAAGAAAGTTATACACATCAAAAACTTTAACGCCAATATCTCAAAAAGCAGTTTTAACAGAAGCGCCCTTATTGCATCTAACTCCTCAATTATTGGAGATAAAACAAAGACTAGTTGATTTTGACTTTTTTTGCTAATTTTTACATTCGTAAGTATACAAGAACTAGGTGGCTGTGTGAAAATACGTTAGTATTCCTAAGGAGTGGTCAAACCCCAGGAAGGTTTTGCTCCCGCGCATCGCAATATTTTCTACACAGAGTTAAAGTCCCCCTTTTTGGTAAAAATTACAATTATTTTGCATTAGATTCTGTTCTCCTTAGAAAAATTTGGCGCTTAATATATTAATGGAAATTTTAACTATTTATAAGCCATTTTTCAAACAGTGGGTCAAAAAGTCCCGTTCTGGTGCGAGTTGATGGGTTAAACTTTTGGAAAAAAGTAGGCCAACCTTATTTTCAATATATAACCCGCAAAAAATCGTACGAGCTCCGTAATTTAACATAACGGTTGATAAGCTTATTGCAAAAATTTATTGATAGCGACATAAATTACCCCAATAGCTTAACCTTTAAATTTTTTTATTTCTTTAAATTGAAATGGTACATACGGATTTGTAGAGTACATAGAAATGTATGTATATTAGGGTGCCCATCGAAAATGGTTTTTTGTACGTTAGTACTACATATTTTCAAATTGTGGAAATTGTCGATGGTCAAAATTTAAAAAATTTTTGAAATTCAAGCAAAAATAATCATTCAAAAACTCATGAATATAGAAAATCGTATTTCCTGACCTAAATCGATAGGCCGCGACCTCTAAATGGCCTTTAAAAAATCTATAAAAATAGGCAATAATATTTATCAAAAAAACTAATCAAATTAGGGGGTAGGGTCTTTAAATTTTCAAAAAAAAAGCATTTTCAATGGGAAACCTAATGTATATACTATATAGACTTTCTTCTGGTCGCCCATCCGTCAGCAGCAGTCACTCAACATTTGAATTGAATGAATGAATTAAATAGAATTATAATCTGATCACATGATAAAATTAGAAGCCTCATGGCTTTGAAGTTGACCACGCCGCTGCAGCAAAGCCTGTCGGCGTAAACCTCTAGTACCGAAACATTTAGGTTTCGAATAAAAGTGCACATAGGCCAAAAATATAGAAACGGTTCAGGGGAGACTCGCCTATCAAAACCCGAATGTAGGAGCCAATAGAGCTTTTAATAATGATTCAAATGAAAGATGTATATTTGTCGGTTCGAGGCCATAATGCAGAGAAACTCTAACTTGTTTGAAGCATTTATGTTCCAGCTGAATCGGACGATATCATTTTTATAGGCCTGGGGGCAGATTCTGTAACCAGTTAGCGGCAATTTTCGAATCAGTATCGGTTTTGTTGACGTATGATATGAAATATTTTTACGTCAACAAGTGCGATATCGATCCGAAACTTGTCGCTAACTGGTTACAGAATCTCCCCCCTGAAAGGCTTCTTCATCCGTCAAAGCATTTTTCTTGAACCTTGGATCGACTAAGGTTAAAACTGATAAAATAATATTTCTCTGTTGGGATAGGTTCAAGTGTTTTAGCCGATATCATATAAATTAGTAAAGAAAGTTTTTTCTTAACATGAAATGCATATAATGGCGCAGGTTTAATGTAAAGAATCGGTATCGGGTACCGAAAAGGAAGTATTGGGTATCGAAATCTTTTTTATGTATTGGGTACCGAGTATTGGATACCCACAATTCAGCGCATCTCTATCGTCGGGTTCTGAGCTAAGTTTAAAGTTTCAAGTCTCTAGCTCATCGGGAAGTCGGTTAAAAAATGATTGCAAGATTTGATTATGCGCAGGTGAAACATAATAAAAGCTTATAAAAAAGAAGTGTGCTGTTTTGAACTGCAAAAATTACACTGAAAAAAAGTAATTTTAGGTTCTGCCGTATGCCCAAATATGAACTGAAATTTATATAAATCTGTTATATATAATTCTCGTGTCACGTTATTGTCCACGATAAACTCCGAAACTGACTATCCGATTTGCTTGAAATTTTTTACGTAGGTAGCTTATTATAATGGTCATATAAGATATTTTTTTCGGGAAGTGGGCCAGGGACCGATCTTTTCGAACAAACGCAAACGTCAAGCTGTGAAGCTGTGTTTTTCTGTGATCTGTTTAAATTTTGTGTTTGATAAAGCTGTTTACGCTTATTAAAGTAAAAAATTAAAAAAAGTGTTAATAAACTTCTGGTGCACAATTTAAAGATAAGTAAAACATCAAAATTTCCCATAGATTTGATTAATTTAACTTGATATTCTTAATTGCATGTGCCGAGTATTTTGTTTCATATAATATATTGTTGTTGTACAATTGTTTTTGTTTGTGCACATTGATTTTGCTCTTTTTGTCATTTCTGCTGTTTCATCTATGTCACAGCTGTCTGCGTTGTGTTTATTAGGTGTCAAATATACAGTGCATTTAAAACTGTTCGCTAACTGATATTTACCAGCTGATTGGTTCACTGATTAATACATCGTTTTCAAAACCGTTTTTGCTTTTTTGCTTCTAAAACCTAAAAATAAATATAATTTTAAACATGTCGTGTATTTACACCAATTTCCACGTTAAAAGCGACTCCTATGTGTCATGCTGGCTCTGCGATGGGATTGCCCGTATAAAATGCGCTGGTTTGAGCGGTAGAGTATTAGACGCTATTAACGAGGGTAAGGGTCTTCGTTGGTCTTGTCAAAAATGT